CACGGTATAAAGCATGTGATAATTGAACAACAACATGGCTTCTTCTCCGGACGGTCTACTGTAACTAATTTAGCTCCTTTCATTCAAGATGTTTATGATTGCATGGATCGACATGAGCAAATTGATGCTGTCTATACCGATCTATCTAAAGCATTCGATAAAGTTCATCATGAAACACTCATTGTTAAGCTGAGAAAGATCGGTGTACATGGTAATCTGCTCAAAATAATCATTTCATATCTCAATTATCGAAAGCAATGTGTCCAAGTTGGGAACTCCAGATCACCATTTGTTGAAGTTACTTCAGGTGTTCCACAAGGGTCACATCTGGGTCCACTATTATTCCTAATTTTCATCAATGACATTACCACATGCTTTGAAAATTCCAATTTTAGTCTATATGCTGACGATCTCAAAATATATAAACCAGTTCAATCTATATCTGATTGTCAAAAACTACAGGAGGATATTACTAGATTGACTGACTATTGTACAACAAATTACCTTTCATTAAATGTAAGCAAGTGTATGAAAATATCCTTCTCTAGACTGCATAGTGAATTGGACTACAATTATTGCATTGGAAACCAGAATCTGAAAAATGTTCCAAATATTAAGGATCTAGGGGTACACTTGGACAAAAAACTCTGTTTTGACATACACATTGAACATATCGTTAAGAAAGCTTTGCGGAATTTGGGTTTTATAATGAGGGTAACTAGGCAATTTCGATCTCAAAAATGTTTGATATTACTGTACAACTGTCTTGTTCGCTCTCATCTCGAATATGCATCAATAATTTGGAATCCACATTATGTAAAATATATTGAGAGAGTTGAGAGAGTTCAAATCAAATTTATTAAGTACTTAAATTTTAGATTCAACAGAATGAATCATTACAATTCGTACGACTACAATATTGTAGAATATAATATGTTCAAACTATCTTCTAGAAGAACTGTTAGCTTCATAATTTTCTTGCAAAAACTGGTGTCTGGTTTCATTAACTGTCCAAGTATCTTGGGTAAATTGAATTTCAATGTTGGAAGACGTTCCTTACGATCTCCGAATCTGTTTTATCCTCAAAGATATAGAACGAATGCGTCAGAGAACTCTCCAATAACTGCTATACAGAGGTTGTATGATCTGTTTTTTTGTCATATTGATATATTTCATGGATCACTTTCAGTAGTTAAACATGCTGCTTATTCAGTATTCAGGTGATATTCATATCCACATATCAAGACTCAAATTATAAGCATGTCATTAGTATTATTAATGTTATTATCATTATTATTATTATTATTATTATTATTTTTATTATTATTATTAATCATTATTATTATTATTATTATTATTAATATTATTATTATTATTATTATTATTAATCATTATTATTATTATTATTATTATTATTATTATCATTATTGTTGTTATTGTTATGATTATTTTTGTTACTATTATCATTATTACGTTATTATTATTATTTTTAATTTCAGAATGCTTTTTCTGAACATTGATATCTATTAAGTTCATTACTCTACGATATATCGTACCGATATTTCATGAATTTATGGAAAAATGTAATATGCGGTTTTCTGTTATTGGGTTGTTAGTTCAACCTGTTGAAAACCCGAATTGGTAAATAAATAAATAAATAAATAAATAAATAGTTGAATCAGGAATTCCATATGGAAATTACGTATGATACGCCAGTGACCTCAATATAACCTAAAACACAACGAATGTCAAAAATCTAGTGTTTATCCCCAGAATTGAATAAGGATGGAACTATATAACTGTTTCACAAACACTTTAGAGTGAGAGGAGACGAGGATCTGTCCGTACCCTGTTAAGATGACTTCAACGTCAATTTCCATCAAGGGACCCTAGCTGTGACCATGTAAGTGCCTTCTTTCTGTGGCTTTTACTTTGGCGCTTTTTGGACAAATACTCCTGGTACAAGCTTCGCCTTACTCGGGCGCCAGATTTTGTATGAATAAGATTTACTGCGCCTACTCCTACAAACTGAGTTTGTGATGAGGCCCAGGACGCAACAGAGAAGAAGGGCACAGGAGGTGTCTACCTCTCACGCTCCGTAGTAAGGAAACGTTGTATTGCATTGATCCATTTTGACGAATTTGGTGCGAAATTATTGCTATGACCATGTTAGGGCCTTTTTTATGTGGCTTTTACTTTGGCACTATTTGGACAATGACTCATGGTACAAGCTTCGCATAACTCGGGCGCCAGATTTTCTTTGACTAAGATTCACTTCACCTCCTCCTACAAATTGAGTTTGTGAAGAGGCCCAGGAAGCAACAGTGAAGAGCACAGGAGGTGTCTACCCCTTACGCTCCGTTGTAAGGATACGTCGTATTTGGTCGGAAATTATAGCTATGACCATGTAAGCCCTCATTTTCTGTGGCTTTTACTTTGGCGCTTTTTAAACAAATACTCCTGGTACAAGCTTCGCGTTATTCGGGCGCCAGATTTTGTATGAATAAGATTTACTGCACCTACTCCTACAAACTGAGTTTGTGATGAGGCCCAGGAAGCAACAGAGAAGAAGGGCACAGGAGGTGTCTACCTCTCACGCTCCGTAGTAAGGAAACGTTGTATTGCATTGATCCATTTTGACGAATTTGGTGGGAAATTATTGCTATGACCATGTAAGGGCCTTTTTTCTGTGGCTTTTACTTTAGCACTATTTGGACAATGACTCCTGGTACAAGCTTCGCATAACTCGGGCGTCAGATTTTGTGTGAATATTTACTTCACCTACTCTTACAATCTGAGTTTGTGATGAGGCCTAGGAAGCAACAGTTAAGAAAGGCACAGCATGTGTCTACCCCTAATTCGGGCATTATCCGAGTGTTTTATAAGGACCAAAATATCATTTTGATGGGTTAAGAGCCAGGCAATATGATTGTGCGTGTTCTATTTGCATGGAAAACACCGTATTTGCTGTTCATTCCATTTTCAGGCAGCTTGAAAAAATAACTCATTGTGTGGTGCAATTGTTTTCAACTGAAAAAATGTTCCCGGAAGGTGAGTGAATCAATAACATCAACTATATATGGTATTAGGAATGATTTTATGCATTGAATGATAAATGAAAACATGATTCAACATGTGGTTCACAGTGGTGGTCTCAAAAAAATTGTTTGAGGTTAAAATTCAGGACATATTATTGTGTGCTACAGATTAGAAACTAATTTATTCTCATTAAAACATGTCAGTGTGTCAAAACTCTCCTCCATTTGAAGAATCTTGAATTGAAGAAAGATCTAGATACAATTTTCGATTTGTCGGATCAGATAGGATCCGATCTGAAAATCGATTTCGATAATGATGACCAGTAAGAGTTGAATGCACATGAACAGGCAGAAGAGCCAGAGGAACATTTTTTGAGTGGGTGGATGAAAATACCAATAGACCAACAGTTCCTCAAGAGAAGCTCCTATTCCAACAAATGACAAGCGATATTATGAAATCTGAACTGTCTCCTGTCATAAATTCTCTGAAATCACCAGGGACTTGCTGACTGAAAGGTTGCGGTAGCCGTTCAATGACGAGATGTTAAGAATGCAATGTGCAACTATGCTTCTACTTCAATAATAAAAAGAAATTGTTTCAATACTTTTCATAACAAACCATAAGCAATAAATGAATATTTCTCCATAATTAGCGTTTTCTTGTCAGGGTTCTGAAACATTAATACATCATCCTGAAAAAATTCGAAAAAAATTTAGAATATTTCTGAGGTTGCTCTAAGTCACACCTGCTAGAAAGATTTCGGCAATACTTTTTCACTTATTCTCGGGAGTGTTAGGGCTACGTTAAACCAGGGGAGAATGTTATTGATCAGACCTGCGTGGAATACTGGTTGTTTGTCCGACATGAGCCTTAGCAAGGAAATGATTCAGATTTCATAATATATCCTACAACTGAACCTATATGATATATAGGTACTTGGGATATTCATTCATGTTTTATATTCATATAAAACGCATTCAAAAAGTTCAGAATTCCTGCTTAAGACTCATTTTTGGTATCACCAGACGAAATAGGATTTCTCATAAATTAAAAGTTGTTAATTGGCTGAACATGCTTAACAGACGTAAATTGCACATGGTTTGCAGCTACTACAAAGTGCTAGAAACAAAAAAGCCGGAATACCTGTATAATAAAATCTCTTTCAGAAGTGATATTCATAACTTGAATATTCGTCACTCTAGTCTTATTACTGTGCCTAGACATAGGAAAGAAATTTATAAAAGAAGTTTCTCTTACAACATCGCCAATCTTATTAATGCTCATCGTGTCACAGATTTCAGTCGTTCGCTTAAATCATTTAAAAGTATGGTAACGAAACAATTGCTTCAACTCCAGAATTTCTGATTCATTTTTGGTAACAATATATTATGAGATTGAATAGTTTCTATTTATTTTCAGTGATCCTCCTGCTGTGCATACTTGTCTCTTTCCTTCTTTTCCCTCTTCTTTTCGTCTCTCACTCTTCTTCTTAACTCATCATATACTATACTAATGCTCTTAGGTTCTTTAGCCGTTAGATTTATAGTTTCTTGATAGGATTAGGTCTGGCCAGAATGGAAGAACAGTTTCAATCTACTTGGTAGAATGTAACTGAACTCTGGCCATTTATTCGCCACATTAAGTATGTTTTACATACGACCTTATACTTGTCATTGTTTTTTGGGGAATAATAAACGTATTATTATTATTATTATTATTATTATTATTATTATTTATGCTTGAATTTTTTGATTTTGATTTTATATAATATTTTCTACCCAAAATAAAGATATTCCTGTATCAGTTCTTGTTTTGAAGAAAAAATGAATAATTATTCGAATTTCTCCAGAAGTGCCTTACTGTTGTTGAAAAGGGAGCGCAAATTCACAAGTTCGCCACGGGCGCCATCCACCCTAGTTACGACCCAACTCCCTGACAACCCCATTTCGCTCTTCTTGCAGATCTGACCGGCGCCGGCGACACGCCCATCTCCCGCCGCAAGTCCTTCAAGAAGTCCCTGCGCGAGTCCTTCCGCCGACTACGGCGCGGCCGGTCTACGCGGCGCCCCAAAGAGGACGGCAAGCAGCCGGCGTCGGCCGCGTCGCCGCCCGCCCGCCGGCTGCCCCCCGCCGGAGGCGACCCGGAGCCATTCTCGCCGCTGGAGGCGAAGCCGGTCGAGCGGCAGATCGAGGCGCGGCAGACGGACGACTCGATGGGGTCGTTCGTGAGGTGTCTGTATTTCGCGAGGACGTTTCTGGTCAATGGTGAGTCATCCAATTAGCACGTGTGACCCACTTCTAATGCAAACACCCTTGTATCTCTACGAAGCCACCTAGAGTACGCCTCAATAGTATGGAATCCTTTTTATAAGGGTAAGATAAATAGAATCGAAAAAGTGCAGCATAAACTAATAAATGTTTTGAATTTTTGATTCAACAAAAGAAGACATTTTTTCTCTTATGAATGTAATGTTACATTTTACAAGCTTGAAATTTTTTAAACTTGAGAAGGCAATTCTTTGATATCTGCTTTGTCTATAAAACTGTGAATGACATTATTGATTCTCCATACTGCACAAGTTTTTTCCTCTTGAATTGTACCCGATCTTGTGCGACATCGGCTACTATTTGTACCTGGTAGGATAACTACCAATTTCATGTCTAATTCTCCACTATATAGGTGCATGAAGTTTTATAATGGTTTAGATGACGAAGTATTTGATATTTTTTCAACCAGAATGAACATTTTCAAGAGAAAGTTGAAGACCGTGCTGTACAACTGATAGTAATGATTTCGTTTCTTTTTTTCTCATCCATTTTTGAATATGCAATATATGCACTGACTAGGTTATTTCTTATACTTCCTGATGACAGTGTAAAAAAATATGCCGATTATTATTATATTAGTATAATTTAGAGATACATAGAAAATTTTTTTTCTGTTATTTTCCAATTATTCTCTCTATATACAGGCTGATCCACGGTGGATGGCCTATTAGAAGTATCTGGAGAAAAATGTAATTTGGTCTCACTTCTCATAGAAGCGCCCCCGTATCTTACGTAATTAATTTTTCCATGAAAAATATGAATAGTTAGTGAATTGGGCGTACTGATTCCGATTTTGAAGTGATTTTCGACCTATTTTGAGTCCTAATATCATTTTCCGGAAATTTTTCTGAACTGAAAATTGTCTAGTAAAACTATGAATAGTTAGTGAATTGGGCGTCCTGATTCCGAATCCGAAGTGATTTTCAAGCTATTTTGACTCCTAATATCATTTCCCGGAAATTGGGATGGTTCCATGGCTGTTGGCGAGTAGTTTATATCACTGAAGATGACCCCACTTGGCCATAGAGTGCATTTTTGGTATATCTTCCGCCCCAGCACATTTCAGGATCCTTACCCAACGATTACGTAAGATACAATGCTTACAAAAATTACTGTTTTCCGTAAGGGTGTAAGACAGTGCTTCAAACAAGTTAAAAATTCATGCAGAATCAGTTCCAGCTACTTGATTATTCATCAAATCCAGTCTACACCTTTTCCAGATGTATTTCAGAAAGCGTCAATTGTATTTCAGAATAGTCAATTGTATTTCAGAAAGTGTCAATTGTATTTCAGAATAGTCAATTTAATTTCAGAAAGCGTCAATTGTATTTCAGAATAGTCAATTCAATTTCAGAAAGCATCAATTGTATTTCAGAATAGTCAATTTAATTTCAGAAAGGGTCAATTGTATTTTAGAATAGTAACTTGTATTTCAAAATAGTCAATTCAATTTCAGAAAGCGTCATTTGTATTTCAGAAAATATCATTTGAATATCAGAAAGCGTCAATTGAATTTCAGAAAGCATCAAGATCGATTAGTTGCATAGGATATTCAGTGTTTCCTGTAGTGATTTTTACAATTCAATCACCCCAAATTTCTTTTTTATGTACCTTTAGGTACCTATACCGGGTGGCTACGGAAGTATTGCCTACGGAATATCTCAGTTATTTTATGAAGTAGGTTTGTGAAATTTGGAGCGTCGATATAATGACATAAGAGCTAGAATTTGAGCATATTGACATGTCGAAGTTAACTTCCGGTCTGACCGGAAGTAACATCAACTTTCTTATCTTGAATGGAAACCCTATTTTTTTTTCTTTTCGCTTCATTCAGCATCCAATTTCCTTTCTAATGACATATCACAAGTTGGTATCTAACCAGAAACCAGATCAGAAAAAAAATCTGTCTTCTTGTTATTTGAAGAATAATAATTGGATTTTTTGGTATTTCATTTCAAAAAATGACTTTCTATTATATCATTAGAAAGGAATGATTATGCTGAATAGTACAGGCAAGAAAAAGTTGTATGTTCCTATTTAAGTTATGGACCTACAGAGTATTGTTTTTTTCCCAATTTTTCCAATATTTTTTTGGCGGCTTTTTATAACGCCGACGAATGAAAATAAAATATCACAGTAGTAGCAACTGTTATCAAGTGACATATGGTTTCCATAACCAACTTTTCAATTTTTGGCTTTCATTTTGCTTCCACGGCCTACTCGGTGAATTTCAATAATAATTTTTTTCTGATCTAGTTTCTGGTTAGATACAAGCTTGTGATATGTCATTAGAAAGGGAATTGAATGCTGAATAAAGCGAAATGAAAAAAAGAAGGGTTTCCCTTTAAAATAAGAAAGTTGATATAACTTCCGGTCAGACCGAAAGTTAACTTCGACATGTCAATATGCTCAAATTCTAGCTCTTATGTAATTATATCGACGCTCCAAATTTCACAAACCTACTTCATACAATAACTGAGATATGCCATAGGCAATACTCCCGTAGCCACCCGGTAAACTATTTGATGAACAAATTACAGAATTTCAGGTATACGGGACTATCATTGATACACTTATTTCTATTGCTATGAAAAACTTCTGATTTTTACATGTTTGTCCTACAGGAAGTGACTGATGGCTGTATCGCACTGTAAAATAGGCTTCTTAATAACATTTACAAAATCAAGCTCTGTTGCTATGACGTGAATGTCATGATATTTTCACGACTTATAAAGTTGTCTGGCAGGAGAACACCCCGTGGAAAGTGCCTGGCAATTGTATATTCTCTTTCATGATAGGATCCGATTGAACATAAAAAGATCAGCTTTTGTTGAAATGATGTTTTTGCCAGTTTTTTTTTTCGTACTTTCACACCCGGTATCTCTTGTAAGCCCATATATTGAATTGACTATTCTGAAATACAATAGGGTATACGCGTGTGAAAATTTTACACTGGAATATATTTTTGTTCCATCACTCATATGTATAGATGTCGAATTCTACATCCGAAAAACATTATGAAGCACCGAATATTCAATAATTTCTGATTGAAAATCATAATATTTGCAACTTTCCGACCAACAGCCGAACTGCAGCGATGATTTCCGACTGGATGTGGCTGTTTTTATTTGTCAAGTCAAACATTCATGTCCGAAAGATTGAAAATGATATAAGAAGAGAAAGTGAGGTTATGATTATCTGAGCTTGTATTTTCTGTAATCTATCATCTATCTCAATTATATGATCTCAATATTCTGAATAATAATAACTGAATAATAAGCAAATATCTACAATAAGAATGATCAAACAGGACTTATTTTTGCATGTTGCTTCAAATATATATTACCACCTATCAATTTATATCTCATATAGTTTTCCATATCTTCTTCAAGCTGAAAACGAAATCACATATTATATTATTCTCCTAACAGGAGGAACATAATCATTGATATAATATAATGGGTTTCACTAGGACATACTTGAACGTATACTCACTTCGAAATGGTCTTCACAAACAAATCTTCTGGTTTTCTCGGATAAATCATTTCTATTTATGGCTTGCAACCATCATTTTCTTTTCTCTTTATTTTTATCACTCGATCCCACTGGCAATGAAAAGAATATTTTTCCTGGTGATACTCTTGTTGATGAAAGGCATTGCGGCACTAAACAGTATTTGGTATAAACATTATCATTTTCCATTTTCAAATTTCAAATTTCTGGCGTTTAAAACTGTTTTCTTCTCCTACCTCTTCTTCTTCTTTTTTTTCAATCTGAATCTTGTCATTCTGTCGCGCTAGTCTATGGCTGTGCGGCCTAATACTATGACGTCATAATATTAGTGATGGCCACTAACCCGTTTTCCTGTGACTTCTTATTTAGCCTCATTTGAATGAAATTTTTTAGAGTCACAAGCAAATTTGAGATTAATGAATGATATCCAATGTTATTATAAGGAAGAAGGAATATAATTTCTATTAAACAAAAAATCATGCGTATTCCTTATTGATGGTTTCTGAAATGCAAGTGACTATTCTGAAATACATTTGACGCTTTCTGAAATTGAATTGACTATTCTGAAATACAATTGACGCTTTCTGAAATACATCTGGAAAAGGTCTAGTGATGAACCTGGCTCAAAACCACTTTTTCCCTTTGCAGTACAAAACACGAACCCCACCTTGTGGGCGGGCACGAACAGCGGCACCGTGTACGCGTTCACCGTCTCCGTGCCGGCCACCTCGAAGCGCCAATCGGACGACGTCGCCTGCCAGCTGGCCAAGGAGATCCAGCTGAAACACCGCGCGCCCGTCATCGCGATCGCCGTGCTGGACGGGTCGCACCGGCCGCTGCCCGAGCCGCTCGAGGTGGAGAGGGGCGTGGCTCCGCTGCCCGACACGACGCAGACGCACCGCGTGGTGATCGCCAGCGAGGAGCAGTTCAAGATCTTCGCGCTGCCCTCGCTGAAGCCGTATGGCAAGTACAAGCTGACCGCGCACGAAGGTGAGTAGGGACACCGAACATGGACAGAAACTAGAAGGACCATTCTTAGCTCTGCCCGAAAATTTCCCTTCCTGTCCGTTACCACCGATACAACAAGGCCTGCATGCTCCGTGGGTGACGTCACTTAGTCAGGCCTAACCAGCGGCTCGAAACGACAAGCGCTTATAGGCGACCGCGTATTTCGATTTTAGTTTTAGATCATCATTGAGCCGATTTTGCTGTTTTTTGAAGGGCTTCCGGTTAAAAAAGGATGCCAGTCGTCAACTGAGCCCTTCTTCGCACCCCATTCCATTTTATTATGGAAAAACGAAGTTTTAAAGCAAAAACCAGGATAAAACACAAATATCCACCTACAGCAACCCATTCGAATTAAATATATTGGCAAAAATTGTGGTGAAGGTAAACTTCACACCTACTTATACAGGGCCCGCAGAACATAAACTTATCGTGAGATTGATCGAAAGAAAATTGTGAAAAATGTATTTTATTTTGATTGACATGCCGTTTGTTACAATTACCTATATTTATCTTGGATAATTCCTATTACCTGAAAAAATAACCAGTGAGTGTTTTCAATTTTCTGTTGTTGGATTTTTCACCCAAGTGGATCGTTACACTTGAAACCGTAATTTTTAAGGGTAAAACTGCATTCATCATGCGATGGTTTTTTTTGAAAATTTTTTTCGGTACTCACGTATTTTTGTCTGATGAACCGAATTTTATATTTCAGAGATATTTCAAGAAAAAGTTCGAAATTTCGCCTTCTTTCTCCCCTTGTGTTGGGGGCATTTGAAGCTACTTGCTCTTATTTTGTCATTGGACACTTTATATACTCATGATGTACTTCGATGGCACATTTTTATATAGAAAATTCAACAGGAAATATGATTTTTATAGCGAGTTTTTCATATTTAGTGAACAAGCATTCCAGATGACGACCATTTAATCAATAGTCAATCATTTTGATTGAAAATCCTCGCGGTGAATTGCATATAGCCACATTTTCGATAGCTCCTCGTCCAACAGGAAACTAAAAGCATGAACTTTTGAACCACCCACATAATTCCCCCGACAAAAGGGAACACAACACTTGAAAGGCATTGTTATTTCGCCGATCACAACACAAAATATTTCACAAAACAGTAATTTTTCCGCCAATTATTTTGATGAATAAACAACAAAAGAATTCGGGACCGTTTCAAAAACATACGTAAATCACCGATGAATTAACACGAACTGACGCGTTAGTCGACAAGCGATAAAATAAAACACTGGCCTCACTTGGCGGCGTCACGAGCTGTTTACGTCAGAGTCTGCTGGCCTTGTTGTATCGGTGGTAACGTCCTGTCCCGTCCCCGATCTCAGCACTGCTCGGCTTCTGGGTAACGCAGTTTGTAACGCAGTTTGTAAGGCAGTTTGTATACTGGTTGGGATCCGATAAGACACCTCACTTCTTCATTTAGCATCAGTTTATTGTCATTATTTTGACTAATAAAAATGGATTTGTGTTGTGTAGAAGCTGTTACAATAAACCAGGGCATGGGATTTATTAAAAAATGTTCCATTTGCACATGCATGTGAACATTTTCCATTGGAATATCTGTTATCCCTGTATACGAGACTTTGTATTTATTATACTATAAGATTCGCTTACCGTGATATCAGGAATAGAAAAGTTGATGAGCCAATTATAAAATTGAATATCTTGCATAATTTGTAGGAACATTCATTGGAAGTTTTTTTTTTGTTCAAAATCAGAATAATATTAGGAATATATTTTGTTAACCTACGGCCACTATAGAAAGTAGGCAAGAACACACGAGATACAGCCTCAGTAAGTAGCTTATTACGCACAGTTTTCGTTTATTACGCCACTATAGGTATGTCATGATCGCGTAATGGCCGTCAACAGCGGATGACATAACTGTCAAGAATTTATATTAAGACTGTTTGCCCAAACTTTTTTGATGTACTATATGGCAGTAGGTGAAGTATAGTACGTAATGCGTGTTGTAAAGCAATTACGAACTCGCTGCTCCATTATTGTGTGATATGCTTATTCTCACAACATATTACGTAATATACTATTATAAACATTTCATTATGTCTCTGTTATTATGAAAGGGAATTAAATAATAATAATAATGAGCATTTTGGCTTTTTCTTAATTGAATATTAATAGTATGCTCCACTTTATTCTACATTGAGTTATATTGTGAAATATAATGAAACATCATATTTGCCAATGATAAAACCAAAGTAAACAACACTGTTTTTTTTTGTCGCTCTCCTGTGAAATATCGAGACAGGCATCTTCGAAATAATAGCGGAAATTAGTTCGTTATTGAGATTATATATTGTTCTTGTTCTTCATCATAAGTTGTGAATAAGTTGTGAATAATGGAAATATAATAACTATATTATGAGCTGCAGGCGGCCGCCGCTGTTGTGAGTGCTACATGAAAGTTCTGCCTGAATGTGAACCCTACTAGTCTCTGTTTATGTTCGGTGGCAGGGAGGAGGAGGGGGGGTTGTGCTGTCGAATTTTGTGCATATACAGACAGAGTCTTTCAACGGAAAATCAAAACCCCACGAGGGCCTGGAATACAAAATAATATTATAATAAAGTCATTCTTGGAGGTTAAATCGGATAAGTAGGTTATTCTTTGTTTATAACTTGTCCGCATCCTGAAATTCTTTCCTAATTAAAAACAAAGAAGATGTTTCATGGAAATAATGTTGATCACTTTTTTCAATTAGTACCTCTTCATCATTGAATTTGCAAAATACTTTCAACAAAATTATGAAGTCTGGGAAGTAAACTCCTTTATTTTCTTGAAATCTCCAACTTTTCATCACTATCTGATGATGATGAGTAGATTGCTACTAACAATTTGGTTTTCCAACTATTCATATTCAATGTTTCCGCAATTTCCATAACTGCACTGACTTCGCACGACCTATTAGAGCTCGTGCAAGAATTGTCGCACTAAGCTCTAAACTATATGAACCGGTTTCCCAATGGAATTCAGAACCCGACACCAGTTTTACCAATGGAATTGGCTATATGAGTGTTGCGTCATAGAATAGGCAAGAACAGGAATAATATGAATGTATAATTTAATGATGAAATATGCTATGATACTTCAATCATTTGAATACCCTACAATTCCATGAAACATTCAAACGTCTATTCAGTACTTTTTGATCGCTTGGTGCTCTCGAAAAGTAATCCCTATAATGTTCGAGATCATTCGATATTCATTGATGTAGTAAATGTCATCAATCGTTTTACCCCGTTGCTATTTATACAAGTTTATAGGTGACATGAATATTCCGAATACTTTCCCAGATATAAATAACCGGAATTTCCTAAAATCCATTTATTTGAATAAATTCATAAACATGAATGACACTTTATCATGGCCACCATTTCTTCCCTACAATTTGGCGTCTGCAAATTTGAAATCCGACGTTTCATCTTCCAGTATCCATCAACTTATTTTTTTTTTAAATACGGACCTGGATCTTTCATTTCAATTTTTGTTACAGGTCCCTAATTTTAGTCAAGTTTTCGATGAAAGACCTTGTATTATGATTATCCATTGTCACCCATTATTTTTTTTCAATTTTAGGTATGAAACATGAAAATTCAACCTAAAAGATTGTTACTTTTATTCCTTGAATGGGTTGCGTGCAAGAACTGTCAGATGACCAACCCTGGAGGTGAAAAATTGAAACACAACCTCACTTTTCTTATTCGTTTACAAGTTATTGAAATAGTTTTTCACAATTATTTTGGCATTCGAATCGTGCTGTTGTGCAATGCACAAAAAATGCACCGGGAAGCGAAGATATCCGGTTGGTACATTATGATTTAACAGTGAGTACCTACTATAGTCACTCGCATATAGTTTTCATTTTGAAATTTGTTAATTTCTCTGATTTCTCATCGGAATTTCTTCTGCAATAGGAGCTAATAGAAATACTTGTGAAATTTCTAAAATAATGCAAGAAGATTGGATTCATGCAATCAAACGGGAGGATTGGTCTGACATGCTGGCGAAATATGATCGTGTGTGTTGTAGACATTTTCAATCTATTAGCAGTGTTATAGCTTTTATTGCAGAAGTGGCAGAAGGAATTTCAATAAGAAATGACAAAATTTCATAATGAAAACTATGTGAGATTACTATTTACCTGAAAAAGCATATTCCTTCGTCTCTCGCTGCATTTTTTGTGCATTGTACAACAGCACAATGAGAAGGCATGCTTGATTCAATGAATAGCGCAAAAACAACGATTCGTATGCCGAAATGTTGTGAAAAACTATTTCAATTCTCTGATTCCTCTCTAAACAAATTGAGAAAAGTGAGCTTGTGTTTCAATGTTTTACACGAAAGTGAGGTTGTGTTTCAATATTTTACCTCTAGGGTGGGTCATCGTGCACGCGACCTATAATAGTAATTTTCTTGTTTATTTTTTCAGGTGCGAGGGTAAGACGAATGGCTTTTGCCAATTTCACATGTACTTTAGAAAATACGACACATTCCGAGGTCGACTTGCTCTGTTTAACCAACACTGGTGACTGTCTAGTTCTGACCATTCCAGACCTCAAAAGGCAACTAAACGCAGCAGCTATCAAACGAGAAGATATCAAGTAAGTTAGTTAATGTAATATTATTTTTTCCTATTCAAAGTATTTTTGTACATAGGGGAGACAGATCAACCAATGTCCTAAAATGCCTTCTCCCTGAGATACCGGTTGACAAAAATTAGGGTTTATATTAATTTCTTCGGAACCCCTATGGGAAAAAATTGCACTTCGCCTACTATACCAGAATATTCAGGGCGATTACTTGGACTTTTCATTTTTCAATTTTTCTAATCAATGGCGTAGTTACTGTCGTATGTCAAACCATTTTCCTCCATATATTTCTCAACCAGACGTTAGGACAATATTAATGTGCTAAATATGTGCACTTATTTCAAAAACACCTTGTATTGCAAGTTAAATAAAAGTTTGATGCACGACACATGGGAGGAAATGTACCTTTGCTCCCATGGTATATATTTATGATTTTATCAACGAACGCATTTTTCAAAGCATCATTCTTTGTGTGTTGTGCTTCAGGCGGTCTATCTCTCGATTCATCGTTATGCATTATAGTAGAGTGCCAAACGAATCGTAAGTCGCTTAGATCAAAAGTTGGTGGGAAATCGGAGGTAAAAAGCTGTGACATGGCTAGAATTGTTACCTACCATCTCCAGATCATGGATCCACTTGTCGTCAAAAAATCGTCCTGTGCGTTTGGGGGGTAGGGAGTAATTTATAAAAAAATATGGATTTTTTTTATTCATGGAAAATATTGATGGATTCCATAACTTCCACCCTGTTTAATCTTGATTTCGTGTGACAAGTGGAACAAATTAAAGAAAATTTTGAAATTTACTAATTACATTACGATATATGAGAAAATCATATTTCAAGCGGCTATAACTCGAAACTTGCAAATTTTCGATAAATTGTTTTTCATAATTATACCTCGCATTATCTCAGTAACTACAACGATTATCAAAAAAATACTTCAAATAATGTCGATGCGCCTATGTTTCAAGATGCGAATGATTCTTCGATTTTGAAAATCGAAGCATAAATAAGGAAGATATTGGGAAAATCATAATCCAATGCAGGTAGTACGAAGGACCGCGATTCGCCGCTTTCATACCCCGATTCTCCCCGCAACGCCCGCGACCGTCCTAGTACGATGACCGTGAATATGAATTACTGAGTGTTACAGAATAGTACGATCTTGGAATTCACTTGTCACACGAAATCAAGATTCAACAGGGTGGAAGTTCTGAAACTCATCAATATTTTCCACGAATAAAAAAAATCCATATTTTTTTATAAATTCTCCCCTACCCCCCAAACGCAGGACGATTTTTTGACGACAAGTGGATCCATGATCTGGAGATGGTAGGTAACAATTCTAGCCATGTCACAGCTTTTTACCTCCGATTTCCCACGGGGTGAACGATAGGATTCGATTGGCACTCGACTATTACAAAGGTATAGTATGCCATGGACAGTTGACGGCATTTGAACAAAAGTCAATGTGACACTTCTGTCATCATTTGAAAGTTTCCATGAGTACATTCGGAATATGAAGAAGCATATTATGATATCATTGGAATTCAAGAAGGATATTATTGTTATTTGTTTTATAATAGTGATGAAGATACTGATTATTTGGATTGCAAAGATTGTATATACAGTATGGTGGAAATGTATGGAATAAATTCATTGTCTCTAACGCATATGAATTTGAAAAAAATCAAGAGACAGGTCGATTTTTATTTTCGAATTGACACCTCTTGATATACATACGGAGTTTGTAACGTCATCCGCGTAGTTGTGGTGACGTCACCGATTTTTTTTTTAAATGAAAACATCCCCTTTTTATTTTTTTCATTTTTTTTTTCATTGTCTATCCAACCATACACTGATATTAGCAAAATGAAGTAATACAGGATGAGAAAAAATTATTAATTATTTTATATTTACAACGGAAACAGTTACAATAAAAGTTCGAATTGGTGACCTTCTGCAATGATACAATATGATAGACGGGCAACGAATTCATCTTGAACTCTGGCTATGTTTCTGGAGATATTTGTGAAATCTTCACTCGTATTCGTTCTTTCAAATCATCTAAACTTTCCGGTCTGTTAACATGAACCTCGCTCTTCAGATAACCCCAGAGAAAAAAAAATCCCTCCCGTGGGAGTAAATTGATAACTTTGTTTCCTAAGATGAGGGAGCAAACGCCTACATTTGATTCAGTCACAGCCGTCTTCAACTATCAAGCCGTGCTGAGATAATGGCAACGTCGCACGAACGGAAACCGTCGGTCCCATTCGCGCCTAGCAATACAATGGTTTTTATATGAGCACGAGCTTTGAATGTTTGGTTTAATGTAATTTTCTCGGATTATTTTGTCGAATAGGTAAAAAATACACGAGAGTGAACTTACAGAGTGAAGAACGAGGAATAATGTGGTTGAATAATTCCCTTGGTCATGAACTGAAGCCGGCTTTTGTTAAAATAAAACTTATGGAGATATCGAATTTTTCATTCATATCTGAGTGTTTGTCAGTTTGATCTGAGATATTTTTGAATCTAGCTAGAATATTTTCAAGTTGTGACCATCTATTCAATTTCATATCATGAGTAAGAATCCATTTCAATTCATTGAATCCAAGTTTATTATCACCAAGAAAACCTTGGACCTCCATCTCATTGGATATTATAACTTGAGAAACGATTTGTAAAGTATTTACATCATTGGGAGAAAAAATATTTGCTTGCAAATGTGATTCATAAAAATACAATTTATCATCAGTCTTATGGATTTTCCAAGTATCAATTTTAACTTTCTCAACATATTCCCTAACTAACTGTTCATAGTTGTGGATGAGGTCTGATTTTTCAAACTGTTCTATTATATTACTTTGAATATCTAAATATTTCTGACGTCTTTCATTTGGATCAGTTCTTTATGGTTTGGGGGGTTTTTTAAAAAATATTTTGGTAAATTTGGAAAAATTGGAGGAACTGCTGTTTCTACTAACTTTGGTGCTCATAACAAATTTTTTCCAATTGATCCATCCGGCAGAGGGAATGTATATCATACCTGATGATATCTTTTTCAATAAAATGAATTGCACATACTGCAGAACGTTGAGATGGTGTCCAGTTTTTTCGAGGTATTGCTGTTATCCACTTACTTCGCAATTCTTTCCCTTTTGGGAATAAAAAAACTGAGACATGATCCTTTCCCAGCTTTTTTTCAGATCTGTAATTTGACTTACATCCTGGCACAAAACAATGAGAAGGCATATTTTATGAGTAATAATGAATTACTTATTTCCAGGAATAAATTGAAAAAAACTACACAAATTCCCTTGCAAATACACCAGCACTAGTACACTTCACTATAACCTCCAATTTAACACAATTTTGAATGCACTTGCCACACACTTTCAGTCTCGAGTCGATTCCTAGATTGTTGCTAATACTTTTAAAATTATTTGATCTCAATAATACACCAATTAATAATTGAAAACTTCAACAAAACCTTCCATAAACTCCTTGTTTACTTCCTACACAATACACTTTGAATGGCTGACAGGTGCAAGTTCGGTCGTTCGGAAAATGTTGCCAAAGTCATTCTTCATGGCTTTCAATTGAAGACGGCTGTGATTCAGTGAGTAGATAAAGAAAATTGATGTTTTTCCAGCGGCATATCGTCGTTGGTGTTCACGAAGGACGCGCAGGCCCTCTACCTGCACAGCTCCTCCGAGCTGCAGCGGTTCTCGCTGGCCGCCACCGGCATCACGATGGCGCGTTGCTACCTGTCGCTGCCGGCCGGCGCCCGGCCGGACGAGGAGGGCGACGGCGGGTCGGAGGAGGCGGGGGAGGGACGGACGGCCGCGGAGGGGGCGAGGAGAGAGGAAGCGGCGGCGGTGGTGAACGGCGGGGGCAGCAAGGAGGGCAGCGTCGCTGAAAAGGTATCGGAATGGATGAATGCCAGTGTAGTGTTAGATATTTTTCATGTTGATCCAGTAACTTTATACATTACAGTATGCGTCAAATCCGGTAGTTCTGATTTTTGCAGACTTGTTCATGATGTTGGCCTAATGAATGATTAAGTTTGTGACCTCGAGCACCGAACGCAACATTGTCAAAAATTGAAAAAACCGCGAAATAATCGTAATTTTTTCAAATTTTAGCGATTATAACCCTAAAGGACTAGTTTTTTGAAAAAAGCAGATCAAATTTTCTACAATATGATACAAGAACTGTCTCTGTAGACCCAATAGTTTTCGAGATTGAGCTTTTCAAAGTTTGTAAAACTTCGCAATTTTTTGCAATCCTGTCGTTCTGATTGAATTTTGACGCTAATTATATAGAGTGGGCCACCAGTAACGCCTCGGTCTCTAGAAGGCTAACCACTTATCTTCTTGGAATTCTTCCTCTCTAGGAAGTTGCATGTCAACATAGGCTACCATTTAAAATTATTTCGAAACATACAGGGTGTCCCCAAAAACCATAAAACACTGAAGTAAAACTTTTTTCTATCGAACACCCTATATATTATTTCATTTTGAGATTCTCCCTGATGAGCTGATTTCAACGACCCATCATACTTGGGGTCTAGCAGTTATAATTACTGAAATATAGGGTGTGAAAAATCGAGATTTTCCAAGTTCAAGAATTTTTTGTGTCGAAACTATTCATAATTGGTCAAAACGGCTTACATGTCCCTATCTCAATTTTTGATTAACTATCTACTGATATTTAATTGGGACATATAATAATAATAATAATAATAATAATATAATAATAATAATAATAATAATAATATATGTTTATTCAAAGGAGGAAAATATGGAATATACACTTTCTTCTACAATGACAATAATTATAAACCTACCTACTAGTATAAATATATTGTTTCCCATATATAACCATAAGGTTGAAGTGGGATATAGTGGTGAATAGTATGTATATGTATGTAAGTATATATATATATATATATATAGAAGAAGAAAAATAGTGTGTATGAACACAGAGCCAGAGTATGAAGTAAAAGATTGTAGGTTTAATCCGTTCCGTGAGTGGAATGTCAATTGGTGCAAGACAGTCTGTTTCAGCTCGCCAAGCATCATCAGTTGCACTAGGCCAATCGACAATCCACTCACGGACCGGTCACTATTTGAAGACCAACAGGTAGTCTTCAACAGTGCGGAATACGGATGTTTGGTACAGTGCCACCTACTATATATATATCTATAATTATAAACTTATAAAGTATTAACTAACGCAATTGTGTATGGCATTCGATGATGATAGCAGGTGAAAAATGGATAATTCTATTAGGATTCATGATGACTCGAACAGGTGGTTAATGACACCTAAGTCTACATTCAGCAAGTAACATTTGAATCGCTTTTTCAATAAAGGCAAGGAATTTTGATCGTGTATGTATGTTTTGTATATGTCTGGCAAAAAGTTGAATACTTTTCGAGCGAAATTAGTAAAACATCTCTGACCCACACTTTTTTTTGCTCTATTGATCCTAACATGAGCTTTTACTCTCATTCTTGTTTGGTAGTTATGCTCGATTTTTATCATGCTATTTTTATTGGTGTTCAGGTATATAACTATACTATGGATATACAGTTTTCTAATATTCAGTACATTTGCTTCCTGGAATAGCATGAGTGTGGGGTAATTATAATTTTTATTCAGCATAGCTTTTAGGATTTTTTTGTGAAGTGATTCTAGCTTTTTCAGATGGACAGGTAAGACTCCCCCCCAGCTGAGTATGGCATACTTCAATCGTGATTCGACAAGAGCAAAGTAAACAGTTCGCAAGTGGGTAGAGTCCAAGAAGTTTCTAATGTTTTTGAATTTATATAGCATATATCTCAAGGTTTTAGTGATATTAGTCACATGTTCATCCCATCGTAAGTGATTGTCGATCGTTATGCCTAGGTACCTGATGTGTTCTGCAGATTCTACATCGACCATTACCCCCTGATTGTCAACTGTCAATGTTTGGTATAATGGTAATGATGATGCGTAACTAGCGAAGGGCATAAAAAATGTTTTATCATAGTTAATGGTGAGTTGCATGTGATTAAACCAGTTGATGATTGATGTCATATCATTTTCAGCTCTTTCTTTAAGATCTTCCCATGTCTCCGCTGAATATACAATTGCGGTATCATCAGCAAAGCTGTAGATTTTGCCGTTTGAATTGAGAGTTAGTAAGCTGTTGATATAAAGAGAGAATAGCAGTGGTCCCATCACAGTCCCTTGTGGTACTCCGTATGTCACATTCAGCTCTTCACTGATGTGGTTATCCACTTTTACTACTTGCACACGATTTGAAAGGTAGCTTCTCATTAGATCAAGAGACTTTCCGCGTATTCCCGCGTCAGCCAAGACATTCAACAGCTGTGAGTGATTCACAGTGTCGAAGGCCTTCGCTAGATCCAGGAACACACATAGAGTGGGCCTACTACTATCTATGTTATCATATAAGTTTTCTGTGAGTGCAGCAATTGCGTCATTTGTGGATAACCCCTCTTCAAAGCCAAATTGTTGAGTCGATATGATTTTATATTTTGTGGTAAATTTTACTAGACGATTTTTAAGGAATCTTTCGAATATCTTAGCAAAGGTAGTGATGAGAGAGATGGGCCTGTAGTTACAGGTTTTTCTTCGATCACCTTTTTTATGAATTGGGGTTACTACTGCTCTTTTGAATCCATCAGGGCATATACCCGTGTTGAATATAGTATTTATTAGATATGCCAGAGGTGAGGATATCACCGGTATTATTTTTTTCAAGGTGTCAGCTGATATTCCATCCCAACCAGGAGCCTTTCCAGTTTTCATGTTTCCAATTAGAGTTCCTATTTCAATTTCAGATGTCGGAGCTAAGTAGAAAGAGTTGCAACATTTTTTATTCTCCGGTCTCGGTGTAGTTGGGGTTCTGATTTTTTCAGCAAGCGATTCTCCCACATGTGCGAAGTATTCATTGAATTCGTTAGCAATATCTGCTGCTCTCGTTAGATTTGTATTATTGGTACTAAGGATTTTCTCGATTTTATTTTCAGACTTGTTTGCTTTTATTCCATTGACTATTTGCCAAATCTTTCGTGGATTGTTTTTGTTCTTTGTAACTTTTTGGCGATAATATTCAGCTTTACGAATTCTAATCAATCTATTCACATGGTTTCGATATCTGATGAACTCATTTCTCAACTAAGCGTTTCCGGGATCTAACCTGCATTTACTAGAGAGGGAGTTTTTTCGGTTTACAGAGTTCACAAGTCCTTGAGTTATCCATTCTCTTCTTTTCCTGTTATTCCCGCACTGTGCTATTGTTTTTGTATTTTTTTCAATGATTCGTGTGGTTATGTCAGTTAGGTGGTTGAGTAAGGCATTTGGATCCTGTATAGAATATAGGTTAGAGAAGTCATGATTTTCAAAGTCATTGACTAGAGTTTTATAGTTGACGATTTTTTTCACCTCTCTTTTCTCATTTACCATCTTTGGCCAAAACGGAATAGCAGCCACTGTTGCCTTGTGGTCTGTTATAAGTGTATCTAGTACGATTGACAGACACTTCTTTTCCAACTCATTTTCAATACTTTTGATGAACATGTGATCAATACAGCTTTTTGAGTCACCCTGTATGCGTGTGAATTTGTTTATAAGTGAAATGAATCCATACTCACTCAGGGTGTCTAGGTATTCGTTAACATATTCGTTGTCTTCCATAATGTTTATATTTATATCACCAACTATTAAGTGATTTTCAACTTGTATATTTCTTGTTTTTTGCAGGTAATTTTTGAGCTCACCAATAAACATATCGACATCTGTCGAAGGTGGCCTGTAAATAGATGTAATTAGAATATTATGCTTTTCATTTATTTGAATATTTAATTCTATTACTTCACATTGGGAGATAGAAGTTTTTTCAAATGTGTAATTTAATGTATTTTTTCCGTCGACCTCGTATTAACGACTAAGTTTAATGTATATGAAATCGTTCATTAATGACCCCTATTAATGAACGATTTGTCTATTAATGTACGATTGTTTTATAGGCAACCAAACATACACCGCGTGCATTCATTGTTTATGCTATAACTTACGGAATCTGCATTTAAATCGAAAATATGGATTTCATTGAAGATTTTCTGTTAACGGGTTCACCTTTCCAAGTTTCTGACACGATTTTAATCCCAGTTTTCTAACACAAGGAATTTATTTTCTATGTTGATCATTTCGACAAATGTCAAATGACACTAATGTCAGTGACAAGGCTACTGGGTGATTCTTAGCAGTTTCCAGATGAATGATGAATTCGCGAACCATGTTTTCTTCATTGCAGGAGAAATGAGAAATATAGTCGACGGAAAAATTTTGTAACCAACTTGTATATTAAAAAGCGATTAATGATCTCGAACATTAACGCGCTCGCTTCGCTCGCACGTTAAAATATCTCGATCATTAATCGCCCTCATTAATAAACTAGTTGGTTAAATAACTATTAACATATACAACCACTCCATCATTTCTGTTTATTCCACCTTCATTGTACAAGAGATCATAGTTACTAAGCTGAATATAGGTAGTATCTTCTAATTTAAATGTCTCAGAAAGTATTATACAATCAAAATCATTGTTCATTTGGCTCAAAATAATTTTCAATTCATCGATGTTTTTGTTGATGCTCCTAATATTTTGATGAAATATTTTGAGATTCTTCGAGAATTCATATGCCAGTAAAGCTTCATTGAACGTTGTAACATCAGATATCTCCTTGGTTATTACCGGATGTATATATAAATTCTGTGCAATGTTCATAATTTAATTCTGGTACATTATCGTGTATGTGAATAATGATTAATAAAAGCGTGTAATTGAGAAGGGAGAAAACAAATATATAGAAGAGAAAAAAAAGGAAATGGTACTTATTTTTCGC